CGCCCAAGCCCAATGAAGCTCATGAGCCAATTCTTGAAAGTCTACCGCTTCAGCAAGCTGAGCAAATTGTCACTGTCGCAGCTGATGAGCCCATGCCGCAGCAGCCTGATGATTCTGATGGCTGCTTGGCTGTTTGGTCGGTCTGTTGAAAATCAGTATTAGTAAATCTCAGTCTGTGTATGTGGTGTTGCTGATATTTTACAATGTTGTACATTCGCCTGCCAGGCCCAGCTTCATCGTCATTGTCCGCCGCAGCAGCAGTTGTTGAAGCTGTTGCTGGAGATGCAGCGTCATCGTCAACTGTCGGAGCAGCTGCTGTTCGAGCATTGTCAACTGTTGGCGCTGGCGGAGGGAGTCGGGCGTCGGGGCCAAAGGTGTACTCGACCCCCGAAATCCTGGCTAGCCTGGAGCCCTGTCAGGCCTTCAAGATAGGTCTGAATAACACGGACCATCGCTTCTTTGTGTCGACGAAGCGCCACTCTGAGAGGTTCATCCCCCCTTATGATAAGAAGACCTTCTCAAAGTCATTTGTCAACTATCCTTGGCAGGAATCGCTGTGTGATGTGCATCGCCACTGCTGGGAGAAGTTCAACTTGACTGAGTGGCCGCTTGAGAATGCTCGTCGTCAGAATCCAGGAGAAGTACCTGAAGACGTGCTCAGGCACTTAGAGGACGTGGTCAAGAAGATGCCGAAGCCAAAAATATACCACAAATCACTGTAGTGGTGTGTTGCTGCATCAATGATTGCAGAATGTCAGTGATGGCTGCTAGGCCTCGATCAACCGGCAGTCCTGGAAAAATGGCGCGTTCTGCCGCGCATGCTCATTTGCTGTGCATTGTGCAGGAGTAATAGGGAACACCCTCAGTGTACTGCCTGCCTTTGTCTGTGTGTGTGTGTGTGCAAGGTGACACCAGGCTCATAGTTTTGATGTGGGTCATTGTCATGACAGAAGTAGATCATGCCATGAAGAAAAGGTAACATCAATACCACTGACCTATTATACAAGCCGCATCGCCATCATCAGTAATGCTGAGTAGGTAAATATATTTTAGTTGCGTCACTGTCCATAACTTGCTCGCAGCCATGGTCACATGTCCTGTTGTTGAGCGGCCTGATGATTGGCAACAGGCTGACCCACAGCTGCAGAAAGTGGAGAGCGATTTCCATCAGGCATCGCATTACAGGCTGTATGACTTCATGTCAGTGTCAGCTTTCAACAGGCAAGGTGGTGTAGTATTGTGCTCTTTGTTTCGTTTGTGTTATTTTGTATGACTCCTGGTGGTCTGACAGTTGACTGTACCCTAAAAAAAGACAAACACTTAGTTGCAAAAGACAACTGATGCATTTTGGAATAATGAAGACAACTGACCTTGTTTGATTGATAGAAATCTATGATCATTGAATCAGTAACTAATGAATGAAATTGACAACTGACTTTGACTCGGAACCTGACCCTGTGCCAGGCTGAATTCCTGCACGAAGTGGGTGTTGCTTCACATGCTGGTCCAAGAATTTCTTGCCTTTGATGCAGCGCATGATGGACAGTCTGTGTGCTGGGGAAATCTGTTGGCTATGTGCTATCCGTGCTTGGCGAACCTCTCCTTGACGGACAAGCTCATGGCAATCATCAACAGGACTCTGTACAATCGGGACTCGGGTCAATGTCATTTGTCATGGGTGGAATACTGTGCTGGAGCTGGTCATCTTTCACGCGCACTTCTGAAGAGACACCTTAAGGGCGCGTGCTTTGACATCCTCTACGAGAGTGATCACAACATGTTGTCGGCCTCAGGTGTCCGCCTTTTTCTGGATGCATTGTCTGCGACTCTCTCTGGTGCACTTGTTTGGCTTGGAACACCGTGCTCAAGCTTTGTATCCTTATGTGTCTCTGTCAGCCAGAGGCGAGTGGAAAACCTCTACTACGGCGACACGTCAAGGTCATTTGTCGCAGCTGGAAATGCACTCATGGAGGTCACAAGCCTGCTGTACTTCTTATCCACGATGCTAGGGAATGTCACTTGTCTCGAGCAGCCCCTCAACAGTGTCCTTCCCTTGTTGCCCACACTGCGGAATGTTTTGTCATATGTCCAAAGCCAAAAGGTCGTGACATACATGGGGGCCTTCAATGGGCCTTCAGTCAAACCTCTCCAATTGTGGTGCACTCATGGCGGCTTCAGCAACCTGATCCGACCACGGCCATTCGCTGGCAGTGACCTTGTCTCGCATGGGGAGGGCGGCAGCTACACTGGCATTCCGTCAGCGCTTGAACTCTCTGGGGTGTACACCCCTGAGTTTGGTGATGCAGTGGCTGCCTGCTTCTGTCAGCTGTCAACTGTCGCAAGAGTCGACAGCTGAATGATTCAGCTTAGTTAGTTTAGTAGCCGCAGTGCGATGGGGCGCGATGGGGTGAAAAGCGCGCTTGCCTTGTGACATTTGACTCAACTGACAGCTTGGTGTGCAACATTGGCAATTGGACTCCTTGTTTCGATTTTGATTCTGGCACTGTGGTACACTCTCTGTCACTGCTGCCTGTCTGAGGCCAGCTGATGGCGCCATCCGGAATCTGCTGGCTGTGCTGTGGTGTGATGTGGTGTGCTCTGTGTTTGGTGGCTGCTGCTTGTTTTTTTGTGTGCCACGTCATAACGAAATTTTAGCGGACACTACTGTAGATTTAAAGTGCCCTTACTTAGCCTGCCGGTTTGGCCAAATTATAGCTAATCGTCAGTCTTCGGCAACCATCGGAAATTGTCATACATGTTTACAACAAGTCAAAGAAAACACTTCAGTTGGTCAACATTGAACAATCTTGTTTGCCTTACTGGAGCTCCCTGTTGAGGTAAGGCCACCGAACCAAACCGCACCAAGCCTTGGGGATGCGTGCCCTCAAATGTTCTCAACATGACCCATGGAGTTTCCTGCGTGCCCTCAAATGTTCTCAACATGACCCATGGAGTTTCCTGTAAAACAACCCTCCTGATCCAGACCCCGCTGATCCACGCCTCATTACTAGTGTGATGATTTAAGGGAATCCCCTTCCGGTTTATGCCCAACATCCTGGGTCATTCGCCTAAGCACCAGCAAGATATGGGCTGCGTATTGTTTTCATTGAGCATGCCTTTTGAGTTTTGAGCATCCAACCCTCCCATGAGGATGCCTTTAGGGGTGATTCTAAACAAATACCCCCAGTATGCATATAGAGCAATGGGTGACTCGGGCTCAGTTCCTAAATGACATGGCCCCCTATGGCTATGGTGATCCAATAGTGGCCGTCGGTGCCAAAATGCCAAACGAATTTGGGGGTAGTAGATGGGATCTAACCACTGGCGGAAACCGTTCCCCAAAACGCAGCGGTATGCCTGGAAGAACGCATTGCAGCCGCGTGTGTTCGAACATCGCCGCAGCCGCATTTTCACCTGTTCTTTCGTTATTCATTCTTCTGTTGTTGGTTCTTTCTTTTCAAGAAAAAAGGGGCGGGGGTGGGGGACGGGGGGGAACAAGGGGGAGGGATAAAACATCACCCTGCCAATGGCAACTCAGCGGACCGAACCGCTCTCCAAACGAAAAATGCCGAAACACCTGCGATCCAGTGGGGCTACCTCATGATTTGCCACTCAGCCGAGGCGGCATGAAGGCCTACCATTTGATTAAGGCCCCAGGAGGGAAAAAAAAACTATGTCCAGTAGTGATGAATTCCTTTAAGACCAACAAGGAAAAAAACAAATCTCAAGCAAATGGAGGTAACCAGTTGTCTCAGATTCTTTCAGCGAGTTCCATCCTTGTGAACTCCCAATGTGATCCAATGGTTTCATGAATGGCGCGCAGAAGCCTAGCTGCCAGCAGTCTTCAAGGAACCTGACCAACTACTTCGAACGTGGCGCCATGACGTGCTCTGTAGCGCAGCCGACGCCACGCAAGGTGTCAAACTAAGAACCAATTTGACCAGCTGTTTTAGTTAATTATTTTATACGTTGGGGTGTTGTTGCATCGATCCTTTAAGGATTCCTTATCAAGTTCCCAAAAAAAAAAACACCAAGGCCACTAAGCACGGCTGGCTTGGCTGCCGTGTCTCAGAAAACTTCGTGCGTGCCGACATGAAAGAATACAAGTGACTGCTCGATACGATCCCTGGATCCGGAGCCGGTGAAGCATCTCATGGTGCCCAAGTGAAGCATCAAACTTCCATTTACTCAAGCCTCCCCCCCTCAAAAAAAAGGGAAGACACAAGTGTCCAGTAGTGAAATTGAGTCACTTTAAAACCAGCAAGGGAGCACAAGACTTGCTCTCAAGCAAATTTGAAGCAAGTGAAAAACGGCCCTTCCACATTTTCAACAGCTGGACAAGGTCCGGAAGAGTTTCCCCAGGCCTGCAAAGCCTGTTTCAAGGATGCAAAAGTCGACTCGACGTGCCGGTTTTTGGAGTTTGTGCCCTTTTCCGTGGTGCTTTAAAAGGCAAACCAACAGCAACGCCGCCATGTAACTGGGCTGTTCGAAACCAACTGCCAGTCTAACTTCTCGAGGTCCTCCAGTACAGAGGTCAGAATAAGGGTACCCTTTTCTTTTTTCTGTAGTCTATTTTAGTAGAAGAACCCTCCCCCAAAAAAGAAACAGTCAAAGGCCCCCTAGCTGGGGGACCTAGGTTTGCTTTCTGGAACCGGATGGCCTTGGAAAACCACCAAGACCAATGGGCCCTCAAAAACGACCTGCCCATGGCTAGGTTGACGTTGGAAGGGGAGCAGAAATCTAAATTTTAGCAGTTAAGTGGGGATTTCCCACTAAACCACAATAAGCAAAAATGTAAAATGTTTCCCAACAACAACCATGATGGTTGCACCCCCTAGTTGCGACAAACGCAGGTAGTCTGTAGTCTCGTTTTGTGGAGTTGGCACCTCTTTTTTTTCTGTTTTTATTTTGGAAAACCAAAAGGAACACCACCTCTAAAGTGGGGTCCGACCTTAAAACCCGACATGGCTGCACTCGCTGCTTTTTCGCTTCTGAGCGGCACCGCCTGCATCCGCTCTAGGAGCTCCACCTTGTGCTTCACGTCTTGGAAGGGCACCTTTTCCAGGCGAGTCAATTCAGCCTCCCTAGACTCTTGATGGCTTGGAGTGGTTTGGTGAAAAGCTCCCATTCACCCGCTCGGCCAGGTTAAGAAATCCCCCAACCACCAATCCGAACCAGCAATCGGAGCTCCGGCGGCCCGGGCCGAAACAAACATGGAAGTCCACGTGCTTTTTTTGCCCCCTGGGAAAAATGAAGACAGTATTTGCCCAGTAGCGATGGGCTCCCTTCAAAGCCAACAAGGGAACATAAAACATATTCTTGAGCAAATGGAAGAATGGAAAACCCGTAGAAGGAAACCAACCACCAGGAAGTCCCCCCAAAGTAACAAAAACACCGAGCAAAGATTGGGAAAACCCTCGAGAGGGGGAGGAAAGGCCCAAAACCCCTATCTCTTTCCCACAGGATGCCAGGCAACCAAACGCCACGAAAAAAACCACCACCGGACGTGCCATTGGTCGGCTGTGAACGAAAGAACCACCACCTAAGCTTCAAACTCATGGACACCATCTTCTTGCCATGCCCCTCCTTCCAATATGGAAGTGGAAAGGGGCTTCCCAAAAGAAAGTGGGAGGGTATCCTCACTTGCCCAAAAGACCAGGAAATAAAAGGTGATCACCTTTTGGGACCTTTACTAAACATGGTTGCCACAATTGGAAAACCAAAAGGTGAAAAGGTCGGCTTTGGCTTTGGGCAAGTGAGTATCCAAGTCAGCGGTGGGCTCAAAGACAACCAACTTGGAACACTGAGTTTGATACTGGTAGCTATGAGCAGGCTGAGGCTCAAAAAGATGTGCCCAAAATGGCCCCTCGGTAAATGGAAACAAAGACCAAACCCTGCGTAACCCTAGCTCTTACATTTAGAGCCACACCCAGCAGTCGACATCTCGGTGGCAAATCCCGGGCAACTCAAGTTGTGAGTCTCCCTAAATTGGTGCTTGGGATTGGTGGATTGAGCCTCTGGCTCTGGGTAAATGGCAAGCCTCCCGACACCTCCAAACAACGAAAATCCAAACCACCACTCTTTTCCGCATGACGCATGACGCAGCCTGGCTGTGCAGGCGCGGAACGGGAAATCCAAACCACCAATTTGGGGGGAAGTTGATAGTTGGTTTGTAAGGCAATCCCAGCCCTGAAAAACATATACATGAGGAGGCTTGCCAACCACAGCAGAGGTGAGGTCCGTCCGGGCCCCATTGTTTTTTGTTGCTTTTTTTTTCCCGCGCGGCTCGCGATGAATCAGCAACACAAGTCTACCAGACCCCGTGGAAACCAGAACGTTTAGATGGAAACCCCCCCCACCCCCCAAAACTCCCCCAAAACACGGTCCAAAAAAGGGAAAGCACTCCCTACCGCCCCCCCCCCCCCCCGGCAAAAACAACCTTCCCCCCTAAATAACTATATCTGTATATATAATAATAATAAAATATAATAATAATAATAATAATAATAATAATAATAATAATAATAATATAATAATAATAATAATACTAATAATTAATAATAATAGGGGGAAAAAAAAAAAAAAAAAAAAAAAAAAAAAAAAAAAACGACTCACCCCCCCCAAAAAACAACATATAAAAACACATGAGAACCTCAGTCGCCCCTGCCCCCCCCCCCCCCCGAGCCCTGGAACCCCTTTTGTCTTCTCGGGCCCCGCGCCAGGAGGTCGCTGCGGAGCCGCGCGGCGTTGGCCTTCAGCGTGGCCACGATCTGCTGGGCCTCCCCCAGCTGACCGTCCAGGTCGTTGATGCCTGAGATCTCTCCCCCCTTCTCCTGCCACGTTTTTGTTTCTTCCTTTTTTTGGTTTATATTTTTCCGTTTCTTTGGGGGGGGGCTTTCTGTGGTTGGTTGGGCCTAAGATCCATCTCTTTGACTTTAAAGGAAATCCATTTCAATAGAAAAAGGGGGGAGGTTCTGCGGTTGCCCTTTCTTCATTTGCTTAAGAATAATGTGTGTTTCCCTTGTTGGTTTTAAAGGGAATCCATTTCACTGGAAATATGTTCTCGCTTTTTTTTCCAGGGGACTCGAGCAAAAGGATGTTTCTTGCTGGATCTCTTCATTTTGCGGAGCCCCCGTTTCTTCCTTCTGCGTTTTTTCTTTCTTCCCCTGTTGCATTTTCGTAGGTGTTCTGCCCCCAGGAAAGAAATGAGAAACACATGTCCAGTGCTGAATCATTTTTTCGGACCCCCCCCTTGTCCTGCCATTTGCTGGTGCGATGTTTGTAGGTGTTCTTCCATTTGCGGTTGTTTGCCCCCTGGAAAAAAATGAATTATATTGCCAGCAGTGATGGATTCACTTTTTCGGAGGCCCCCCTTTTCCTGCCATTTGCTGGTTCGATTTTTGTAGGTGTTCGTCCACTTGCGGAGTTTTGCCCCTGGAAAAAAATGAGAAACATATTGCCAGTAGTGGTGGATTCACTTTTTCGGACTTGCCATTTGCTGAAATGACTACTTGTTGTGTTCCCCCGTTGATTTTAAAGGGAATCGGTTTCACGACTGGAACTATTTGCTCATTTTTTCCAGGGGACTTAAGCAAATGGATATTTCTTGCTGGATCTCTTCATTTTTTCTGAGCCCCCCTTTTCCTGCCTTTTGCTGAAGTGACTATGTTTTATTTTCCCAAGTTGATTTTAAGGGAATCCATTTCACTACTGGAAATGTGTGCTCATTTTTTCAAGGGGACTCTCAAGCAAATAGATTTCCACTTTTTCGGAGCCCCTGTTTCTTCCTTTTGCGCTTGTTTTTTGCCCTGGAAAACATCCAGTCCTGCCATTTGCTGAAATTGCTATTTGTTATTTCCCCTGTTGAAATCGGTTTCACTACTGGAAATATCTTCTCACTTTTTTCCAGGGGACTTAAGCAATTGGATGTTTCTTGCTGGTGCGAATTTTGTTGGGAATGTGGTTGAACGAACCCAGGAATTGGTCCCCTTAAAGGAAATGGGAATGTAGGAAACCGCAAGTTTTCCTCCTTTTGCGGTTTTGCCCCCTGGAGAAAATGAGGAAACATGTTCAGTGATGGAAATCCTTGAAAACCAACAAGGGAAGAAAACATACTCCTAAGCAAATTGACATTTTGGGTGGTGCTTGACAGGGAGTGAGTTGAAGGGAAACCACAATGCCAGGAACCATTTTGGGGGCCACTACAAACTGCCACCTGCTTTCGGACCCCTACGTTGATACCTACGTATTTGTTCAGCTTGGGTTGTCTTGATCAAAGTTGCTTGCTCGTTTCTGGCCAAAGCGTTGTTGCTCGACATCTTGGTTGACGTTGGAGGGGGAGCAAACACATAAATCTTAGCAGTTAAGTGGTTGGATTTCAACTTAACTAAACCACAATAAGCACAAATGAGAAAAATGTTTCCCAACAACAACCATGACACGGTTTGCAACACTTACCCCTTAAAACTCCAAGCCCTGGGGAAGTTAATCTTTTACAGACATATAGCCCATGTTACCCAAAAAGTTGAACAGTTGTGCTTTTAAGAGGTAAGAAAACAAACAACGTTTTCTTGCTATCACTATTGTCCATTGTCTGAAGTGGTAGTCCGTTGGTTTGGGATTTGAGCGGGGGACCTGGGGAGCTTTTCCCTCCTTAACCGTCTTAACCTCCAAGCCCCCGATTCGGCTATAAACCAGCCATTTGGAAGGAAGGCGGTCAAGTTGTGACCTGAAGCTTCCACTAAACTTGATGATACTGAAAAAAAAAAGGTCACAACTGAAAAAAGAAATGAGGAGCCAAGTAGTGGCTTGCAAAGTGATGGAGAAAAAAAAAAGGGTTCCAAGCCACTGCTTGCGCAGCCCCTGCTTCTGAAGCCTCCAGGGTTTGCCAGAAGGAACCAACGACTCGAAAACCCAGTCCCTTGAAACCTGCTTCCTTTTGGAAGCCAAAGGGGGGGTAGTCCCCCCTCACCTCCAAAACCGGGCTCCAAACCACCAAGAACTTCCGGGAAGCTGAGAAGAGAAGTCCAAGCAAAACCACCGGGCTCCGAACCACCAACCTGACGGGTGGACGCTGAGACATGCCCACCTCCCTTCGAACACCAACGATTTCCGCCCACACATTGATCGGGGAGAGGCTAAGACATGCCTCAAACAAATCCCAAAATCCAAAAAAATCCAAAAACAAACAAATTAGACGTCCAGTCCGGAAAAAAAAGATACCAACAAAGTTCGGAGAAAAACACACACACAAAAAACACAAACAAACAAACAAACAAACACGCACGCACGCACGCACGCACGCACGCACGCAAGCAAGCAAGCAAGCAAGCAAGCAAGCAAGCAAGCAAGCAAGCAAGCAATCAAGCAGAAACACAGAAACAAAGAAACAAACAAACAAACAAATAAAAAAGAAACAAAAAGAAAAGCACACCAAAACAAAAACACACACAGACAAAAGAAAAGGTACCGCCGCGTTGTTTTCCTTTTTCCCTTCTTTCCCCCCGAAGTCCAGGCGGCTGCTGGCGCTTTGCAGCAGTTCCGCGTGGCAGGTGGCGATCTCACGGCGCAGGTCCTCTCGCGTCGGACCCGAATATTTTTGTTTGCCCCAAACCGCGGCGCTTGGTTGCTGTCTGCTCCCCTGCTAAAAGTGTTTGTTTGTGTTTAATCTTTTAGCAGGGTGGGGCAAAATATGGTTTAACCACCACCACATTCACAAGAAATCAACATCATAACCAATGGTTTCAACATGTTTAAACCAATGGGTAGCCTCACCCTATTTGCTAGTGGTTTAATTCGGAAAACTCATTCGCTGGCAAACACTTAAAGTGCTAACATCCAAGCAAAATACCCCAAACCGCAGTGGTATGTTTGATTTGATTTGTTTGTGGTGTTGTTGTGTTTTGTGTCGTGCTTGTTGTTGTGTTGTGTTGTTTGTTGTTGCCTGGTGTTTTGGTGTAGTTTGTCTTATGTTGTGTTTGTTGTTGTTCTGTTTTGTTTCTTACTTTTGTTGCTTTGTGTTGTTGTTTCTGTTGTTGTTTTTGTTGTCGCTTGTTTTTGCGTTGTTTGGTTATTGTTTCTTGTGCTTTGTTTGTTCACCAAACAATTGATTCCAAGTGGGTACGCAGTCAAACGTCAACCACATGGTCTTCCGGCCTTAGCTTTCATGATCTTCCCCGCCACTTCCCATTCCGCCCAAAACTTTGAGGCCAGCGAGTGGCAAAAGCCAAAACACAATGCTCAGGCGGGGCAGTTGTTCAACGGGATGTGCAAAATCAGAGCCTTGTACATTGCGCAAGCGAGCCAAAGGAAAACTAGCGCTCAACACTTTGTCGGAGCCCCAAAAAAACCTCATTAAGCCCTTATTAAGGCCTTATTTAGGGCTTATTTGGGCTCCCCCCCCCTCCCCTCCCTCCCCCCCAGCCCCCATAACTTTGCTAGCCTCTTTTGGGGGAATCACTCAAGTACGTAGCAGATCTGTGTGTGAGTTCGTGACTGCGGCACACCTCACCTTTTTCTTCACCTCAGGTTTATCTGGAAGACCCAACTAACTCATCAAATGCATCCCCGAGAATCGGTTGCTTCCCACGAAAACCGGTCTCTGACTCCGAAGTGGATTTTTCGCTTGCCGGTTTTCAGTCGGGGAATGAGGGGATGACCCTATAAACCATCTTCTATGGTTTCCCTTGTCACTCCCAACACCCGGACTGGGTCATTCCCTATATACCTATCGCACCAGCAAGCACTTCTGGACAACTTGACCGAACCTGCCTGGGGACGCCATCTCACCTGCTGAAGGCAAAAGGTCACGCCCACGCCGGCGTTTGCGCTGGCCCCGACACGTCCAAAAACCACCCGCTCAGATCTTGTTCATCAGCGGTCAGCTTTCAAGTGTCCCAAAAGTGGCTGTAGATCAAAAAATGTATCAAAATGGCATCTTGGCTCATGAAACCAGAGACTAACACCTGCGTAACCCCAGCCCTTCAATTTTGCGCCACACAAATGCATCCTGTAAGGGACTTGGATCAAGTCCTCCTCCAACTGGAGCGCAGCTTCCTGCAGCTGCTGCGATAATCTCAGCGTGTCCTCCAAAAAAGCCAGTAAGGAGCCTCAACGGCCAGGGTGCCCTGCATTTCTCCTGTAAACTGGGCTGCCCTCATTTAACTTTTAGTGGGTTAAATGGAAATCCCCACTAAACATCAAGTAAACATGACGCCACACTGAACCAATTGGCCCATGATGGAAACCTGCGGAATCCTGGCAGCCACGTGCGGCCCCATACCTGGTAATTACCTGGACGTGACAAACATTCTCAGTCTCGGGTTCGCTGGTCATAACTTTAGCGAACGTGCACTCCCCCAATGAACTGGGAAATCATGGCCTCTCTGCAACAAGCTGCCAGCTACTTAGTGGGTATACATGTGGCATGGCCAAAAATGACGTCTTTCCCCAGAGAGGCATAGAAAACACTTAGTTCCCTCACATCTCTGCCACACCTGACCAAACCTATCAAACCTATGGTGTGAAGCCTGAAGGAGCACACACTCAGATAGCAGGAGAGCCGCTACCAGGTGTTCAGACCGCTGGAGCCCCCCGCCTTCCATGACCAGAGAATGCAGGAGGCCTTCTTTGGCTTCGTTTGAGTCTGAGGCGTAGGCCCAAATCCCTTGACTTGACTGGAGCTTCAAAAGTGCAAGTGAACCAACCACTTCCAACCACAAGCCCTTAAACATTGCGGGTACCCATGCCTCCCTATCAAAAAATTGCACATCTGCTCAAACGCGAATGCATCCCACGCATCCCCAGTCCAAACAGCGAGGATTCGGATTCGCTGTGTGTCTGCTGGCGCGCTAGGCAGGCAATGTGGGAATGAACCGGAGGGGTGTCCCCTTAAAAGGTCACTCTCTCATTCCCTGAGCACCAGCAAGAAGAAACACAACCAAGTTGATGGTTGGTTTTTCTCTCCGGGACCATTCCAGGTCTCTGCCTATCACATCCTAGGTCCTCCAGTAGAGAGGTTAGAACAAGGGCACCAACTTTCTTGCTGTAGTCTCTTTTAGCAGGGGAACCCTCCCCCCCCAAAAAAAAAAATGCTCAAAGGGCACTACTCAAAAAAACCGAGCACCCATCGCAAGTTTCGTCCTGGCCCTGGCCGGCATCCCGCACAAAGGCCGCCACATTGAAGTCGGGCTTGCGGAAGGCGTCCAGCAGGCCCCGCGCCATGGCCGCGGGGCTTCGGGGCTTCGGGGCTTTGGGGCTTTGGGGGGGGGGGTTCTGGGTTTCTCGGTGGCCCGGGTTTGGAGCTGGGGTGGGGATGCTACACAGCCGGGAAGCTGGCAAAGCTGAGCAAGCTCTCCTTAGCAAACTTCCCGGTTGACGTTGGAAGGGGAGCAAAAAAATATTTATTTGTTAGCAGTTAAGTGGGGATTTCAACCACTAAACCACCATAAGCAAAAATGTAACATGTTTCCTGACAACCCCCGTGACTTGGCTTTCTGAGTGTGTCGTGCTTTGGCTTTTCTGGCGACCCTCAGCCTGAAAGCCAGGGGCGCTCGCTCGCTCCGCTCGCAAGAGGTGCTTTGTCCGCATGTCTCACGCGGGGGTCTCCAACGAACCCGAACCAAAAAGTTGAGGCCATGGGTCAAAAGCCCGTACCCCCAGTATCCAGTGGACATCCCAATCCCCAACATAGGTTCTAAAATGGGCGGTGAATTCACCTACCCCAAAAAATGATACCAAAACGGTTTTGACCCATCACCTTATCTCACTTGCCCAAAAGACCAGGAAATAAAAGGTGATCACCTTTTGGGACCTTTACTAAAAATGGAACAAAATTGGAAAACCAAAAAGGTCGGCTTTGGGCAAGTGAGCCTTGAAAGTCCGAAAAACAGACAGGAAGTGAGCGCTCCGCCACCACAGACCCGCCTAGCAGAAAGATCAGCTCGTCAGCTGTAGACATGGCCTCGACACGCCAATGCTTTTGTCCGGAAACGGGTTTTGATATGGCGGTGGATCAAAACCAATGCTAACATTTTGGGGCAGGTGAATTCACAACCCATTTTAGACCTATTTTAGTGGGGATTGGGATGTTCACTGGGGGTACGGGATTTTGACCCATGGCCATGTGCGTTTTGTTCTTCCCCCTGTTGTTCCATTTTACAACCTGTTAGTACTCTTGTTTCTTCTACAGGGGGATGCAAAAAAGCCGCATCCTGACCGTTTTCGAGAGACTTGCATGGTGAGTGTAACTTCTTCGGCTTGGTGATGTGGGGCATTCTTGGCTGGCGCGGAGTGTAGACTTCCCCTCCCGTCGTTTACTTTCTCAAGGCGGCTCTGGCAGTTTCCTCGCCCGAACCCCATGATGAGGATGGGCATGCCAAGTCTTGGTGAATTATGATCGTGGCCAATGAGAGACCCCCAAGCAAAATCAACATTCACCGCTGGCAAAGAAAAGCCTGGAGGTTGCGCATGACTTGCAGAACCAGTTCAAAAAGGTTTTGGCGGACCAGGCCTCCATTAAGCCAGTGGGACGCACCAAGATAAGGGCTTGAAAGTGCACATGCCAAGTCGCAAAGAAAAGCAGCATAATTTTACTGAACAAGGTGAGCTCGTTTCCTTCCCAGACCAAAGGACTTGCTTTGGTCCAGCCATTTAACCAAAAAAAACAAAATCCGCGCGTCGCTTTTTCGCGCGCCATTTTGTGGCGTTCGCTCGCTCGCTCGCTCGCTCGCTCGGCCGAGGGCTCGGCCACGAAGAAGGTGTCCGTGAGGTTCCAGGCGAACCTGGCGAGTTCCGGCTAAGAGTGAAACGCTGACTTTTTTTTGTGGATCAGTGGGCAGAAAGTGATTGAGTCCTAACAGCCCTTGGCAAAATGCACCAAAGGAGAGATGCCAACCGGGAAGGATGGAATAAAACTGAACCATCCCTAGCTGGCGGTTTCCTTTGAGGGGACTACCCCAAAACCGGTTCATTCAACCACATTCCCTACAAAAAATCACGGCAAATTGTGAGCTGCAAGTTTTCAAGCTGCCGAGCGCTTCAGTGCGTCCTACATTTTCTGCAGGCTGCTTGTGACAGCTGACTTGTGGAAACCTGGACGCCTGGGGAAGCTGCCAGCTGCCTTCTCCAACACTGGGCCCCAAGGTGTTCAAAACATTTCAAAACACACAGGAATTCCTGACTTTTGCCCGGATTTGCTTGCCCGGATTGGTATTTTTTTCACCTGATTCTCTCCGCCCGAGAGAGCCCTGCTGCGGCCAAAACCCTTTCTGTTCTAGAACAGGCTAAACGGTATCTACTGGGAAACCTTGTGCAAAGAGAAAGCGCGGTGGCCCAGTGACACCTTCGCCCGTTTCTTCCTTTTTTCTTCGCCAGGTAGCTCAGGGTTGGTGGTGGACAAGAAGGCTTGTCCATCTGCCAGGACCCGCAGCGCCAGCTCCAGCAAGAACGCCACACACCACCTGAGTCGACTCCATCAAAACCCGTCGATACACGGTCGGACCTTCCCAGAACCACCCCCCCACCCCGATCCAACAAAAGAACTGAAAACCCACCCACCCATGCATGGCGAAAATTATCCCGTACTAATCTTCATCCACCCGAATCGGCTTTGAAGTGGCCCACCTTGTGCTCCCCCTTTCGCCAACGCGCATCTCTCACTGCTTGCTGAAAAGGAATACTCGCCGGGGGGAGGGCAAAAACACCGCGCTTGTCATGGCAGCAGCTCCTTGTCATTGTCACTTTGCTTCCAGCATGAGATTGATAACTTTGGCAACACATGGCTGTGGCAGGTGGAGGGGAAACACCTCATGTGCAAACGGCAAAGAGCATGTGTGACTGGCTGGTACTTAAAAAAAAAAAAAAAAAAAAAAAAAAACCAATTTTGCGCTTATTTGCTTGGTTTGGAGTAAGGTGCTTGCAACATGGACATCCACGTCCTGCTCATTGCCCGAGAGTTTCAGCCAACCCCGCCTCTCTCTTCCCAAAACCCGTCCCGGTCCTGTAGCCCAAGGTCAAATGTCAAATCGGAACCTGCGGACACATTTGCCTGGTCCAAGCGCCGCAAATATGGCCATGCTTCAAATCCGTTTTGGGATCCCATTTTGGGACAGGTGCACCAAACTTTAGTGGGGGGGTTTTGACCCATGGCCATATGTGCCCGAAGATTCAGTCCCGTGTAAGTACACATGTTTTCTGAGACCACAAGGGGCGACGGGAATTCCGAGCCGCGTGATGTCGAACACTCGGAACAGCACCTCAGCTCACCCAAAACTGGACGCAAGGAGCAAGGCAATGGAGGCTCAGCAGTCGGAAAGAACCTGTGAACCGCTGTCGCAAGAGTTGGTGGGAACCTTTGATTGCTTATGAAATGGTTTGAGGGGGGGTTGCCTTAAAGAAAATCTCAATAAGAAGGAAGAATCCGGACATCAGGGAACATCAACATGCGCGCGTATAAGAATTCAGACCTTGTATGGCCATCCGGTTTGGTGATTTCTGCGGAGAAGGTGGGATGCCAGAGTGCATGCTTCGCTCCCCTGCCCTGTACGAGGGCATGCCTCACTCCCTTCCCCGAATGCCAAGTGGGTGCAGTGAAGGTACAAGTGAGGCCGGTGCACAGAAACCCACAGCTGCCTCAAAATATGTCGTGCCAAGCTGCCAAAGGCTCCTTGGCTCGGCTCGTCCGACCGAAAACCCGCGGGCAAGCGGCCAGAAGGTTGGGCCTGCTCTTTCGAGGTGATTCCTCAAGCTTGACAACCTCAAGCGTTGATCTAGAATCTAGGCATTGTCAACGGGAAACACACACACACACACAGTTTGCTGTTGGATCTAGGCGACTCGTGGAAGCCAAACACTGTTGAACTTCAGACTGCCAGCCACACTTGGGCCTTCAGCAAAAGCTTGTGATGGCTCCGCCTGCGCATTGGAACATGTGCAAGCGCGTGCTTGTGACACAATGACCTTTTCCCACGCTTCCCATCGTCACCGTCTACTCCGGCCTATTGAAAGTGCTGCTCCTCCCTGCCTGCCTACAAGTGCCTGCCTGCCTCACCTTTCTCTCTGCCTTCCTGTGTTTCCTGCCATCTTTTGTATACCACTGTACCTCTTGAGCTTTGCGCGTTCATGCGTACTGTTTGTTCAAGGCAAGTCGTGCCGATCCAATCGTGCGCTTGAACGGAGTGCTCCGGAAAATATGTTCGGACCTCCCCAAGTTGCATGGCCAACCGCGCAGCCGGAAATGTTGCCTCACGCCTTCTTGGCACCCCGTATTTGCCGGGCCACCGCATGCACGTCCTGCATGTTGATGTGAGTCTCAATGCCCAGAGTTGCAGAGGAGAGCAGCAAGGAGAAAGTGACGGCCACCTCGAAGTAGCCGCTTTGCACCACGCTGAGGGCCAAGCCTCGGCATCATTAGCAACCATCTCACACTAGGTCCAGAAGAGAGGAATGGTTCTTGCCCGAAACTCGTTTTCCTTAGCCGTTTTGGGGGGGGGGGGAGTTTTTTTTGGTTTTTGTTTTTTTTTTTTTTTGGGGGGGGGGGGTAGAGTCTGCTATGAAGGTTAGACAATAAGGGCACCAACTTGTTTCAGCACGTCGATTTTAGTAGGGGAACCGAATCTCCCAACCAAAAAACGGGGTTTAAAAAAAGGCACCTGGCTGGACCTCGCACAGCTCGCGCGACCCCAAGTCCTTCAAGACGTCGGCTTCGGTTCCACACACGCCCCTGGAAGGGCTACCCTGGACCAGCTCTCAACGCAGATTGTTCCAAGAGCAGAAGCTGCCCATAACAAACGTGAACAGATCCAGCGAATCTCCTAGAATGAAGCCAGCTCTTGCTGGGGCTAGGCATCAGCACTCTACAGCTTGGGCTCTGATTTCCGCACGGGTCAAAACATGCCCCTTCTCAAGAAACAACTCCTATGCCAACGGCCACAAGTCGCATAAACTCCTCGGGTCCCTCCCATAGCAAACCCAATAAGAAAAAAAATGATGACACCCACCGGCTAATACCTAGATCCTCCAGTAGCGAGCTTAGAATAAGGGTACTTGTTTTTCTGTAGTCTAAGTAGGTGAGCCCTCCCCCAAAAACAGGTAAAAGGGCACTACTGGGGGAGCTAGATACGTTGGCCAGGCACCGGAACCAGTACTAGCACGCATAATTGCGCTTTTGATGCTTGATTGGCTTGCTTGCTTCACATGTCTCCATGCAACTATGTTAGTTACACACGTGTGGCCTTTTCAATGAGTAGTTGCATCGAAGCCAA